GCTTTCTGAACAGCTGTTTTGCTGACAATTTGGAGGATTGATTCCATCATTTGGTTATTTAAGCTAACTATATAAAAACACTTCCATTTAATTGGCCTCGAAGTTCCAAACCGTGCCCTCATTTTCCCCGAGATGGATAAGCAAGTCGAATTGCTCCACAAGATCTTCGCTTGGAGTTTCCCTCTTTGAGAAAGCTTTGTTTTAATTTACCATTAATAACATACACAAATTGGTCTCTCCCATCATTGTTTTCTCCCACCAGTTCCATTTGCCTCTGACTTCATATCTGGCAATGCCATTTTCTACTAGAAACCATCACTAGTTCCCTGTTGATGTCAGAACGAATTCCAACTCGTGAGCTAAGGTCCGTGCACGAAATCCAGCCTGCCTGCCCCTTCACCCCTCATTTGCCTCTACTTTTCATCTCTGAGCCTGGTCAAATGAAACCACAAGATTTCAGAGCTCACATGTTCTCTTACTGGGCATTCAATGACAATGTGTCCCTAACCATTCTGCTGGCCCAGCCCACCCTTCTTTCAGAAAGACTCCAACACTGCCCTTTCTCCATATAGGGGTTTCTAACCCAAGAGAAGGACTGGGGACCCCACCCTGCTTCCTCAGTGATCCCTTGTGCTGGAGGTGAGGCCTAGTGGGAGGTGTTTGGGTCACCAGAGTGGATGCCTCCTCATGGATAGCTTGGTGTCTTTTTCGTGGTAATGAGTGTGTTCTCTCTGTTCCTTTGCAAGAGGATGGGTTGTTTACAAGAGCCTGGCACCCCTTAGTCACTCTCATGCTTCTACTCTCACCATGTGACTCGCCTGCTCTCCTTTTGACTTCCACCATGATTGAAAGTTTCCTGAGGCATCACCAGAAGCAGACACTGGCACTATGCTTTCTGTAAAGTCTGCAGAACTATGAGTCAAAATAAACCCCTTTGCTTTATAAATCATCCAGCCTCTGGTATTCCTTTACAACAAAGCAAAATGGGCAAATACACTCAGCAACCTCTGGTGGTCTCTACTTTTAGCATTTTCTCTTTACCTGCTTCTCATACTCAGTTTCTCAAGGTCAAGGAGGGTGACTTATTCACCTGGACGTGCCTATACCCAAAATGAGGTATTTACGAGGTGCTTAATAAACATCTGTTGAATAAATAAGTTGAATCTGTCATTCTGACTAAGATGAAAATAAACTTTAGTAGCTTAATGGCCCCAGGAAATCCCAAGAAGTGTTTCGTTCTCTGCTGGTTATCCTCTGCCCCTCTAGATACTCTTCTCCATTCTCCTCTGTGCCCTGGGAGGCACATAATTTTGGACTTCATCAATCAGGCCCCTTTGTTCTGTGGCCTTGGGTTGGATGTGTTTGAGCAGAGGAAGGTACAGGCATGAGATCAGAGGGTGGCAGAATAAATAAGTTGGAGTATTCTTTTTACTCTACTCTCTTGCTGGAGCACAGATTGGTAACTGAAGGTCACAGGTCCCATAGGGTGGGCTCTCTCCATGATAGTGCCATATTCCCATGACTGCTTACTATCCCCTTCCCTCCTCTTCCCTTTCGGTCCCTCCCCTTCCCTCTCCTTCCCTCCCTTTCCGTCTTTCCTTTCTTTTTCCTTCCTTTCTCTTCCCTTGCCCCATCCACCTATTGATAACCCAGATGCTCCCCATCTCTGTGGTTTCCTGACACCCTGCTCACATTTATGTAGATAGTCACTTCATTCAACTTTTTCCATCACCTTTTTAAGTAAGCCGTCTGCCTTCTCCACAATCCTTATTGATGTGATCCAAGCATCCTGACTTGCTTTCCCTTGCCCTATTCTTGTGATCCTTTTCTATAACCCAACAAATTCAACTAATCATACTAATTAACAGGAGAATTCCAGGCACGCACCTCATGCCTGTGATCTCAGAACTTTGGGAACCTGAAATGGGAGGATTACCTGAGCCCAAGAGTTCAAGACCAGCCTGAGCAACATAGCAAGACTCTGTCTCTACACAAAATTAAAAAAATTAGCTGGGTGTGGTGATGTGTGCCTATAGTCCCAGCTGAGGGACTGAGCTAGGAGGTGAGGGGGAAGGATCACCTAAACCCAGAAGGTCGAGGCTGCAGTGAGCCACGATCATGCCATTTGATGGCTGATCACTATGGAAGAAGCCGTCCCAACTCAAGGGCCTGAACCCAACTTTCTGGCTTATTTTGACTCACCAAGTAATGAGATAATTTCTACTATGGTCTATTTAGCTTATTTATTTTTAAACTTAGGCTAAGTTTCTCTGCAAAGTACAAGTTGAATTATTTAAATACAACCCAGATACACAGTATTCCCAATTCCTTTATCCCACGTCTCTAAATTATGAATGGCAAAGGAATATAGACTGTATTGTTGTAGCCACACTTGCCACAGTCTTAAGACTTGTTCTGAAGTAACTTGGGTGCAAACCATCAGAATGAATGGTGGAAACTGGATTTTGTTCTTTTGTTCTTGCTGTCCCCTCCTTCCTTAATCCTGCAGGTTTTTCTTCCGTCACAAACAGTAGAATATAGCCAAGACATTATACAAGCTCATCTCTGCAGCTACTTGGTCAATCTCTTGACCTGACTAATAATAAAACACTGTTCTTGGTTTGCTTTCTTTTCTTTTTCTTTTTTTCTTTTTTAGCCTGTCCCTGCCACTTATACTGTCTAAACAAGCAGGTTATATTCTTTGGACAGGTTAAAAATCAGAAATCCTCTCAAAATTGCTTTTTCTCTAAAGTGCACTTGTGTCTAAATACCAGCCTTTTAACTTTTATGACATACGCCCTGGCAATTTTATTCCCAGCATATCCAAGAGCATTTAAAGTAGCTTGAAATGTAAAAACAATCTGCAATGCACTTCATTGTATAGCTAGGGGTGACAAAACCAGCACCACTTACATAAATCATTTTTTTGTGTTGGAAATGAATTCATGTTAACCTAAGGGTAGCTGTTTAACAAAAATTAAAAACCAAAATCTCTTTCGATGCTTTTGACTATTCAATAATTCAATTATCTCTTACCAGACTTCCTCACTACTCCACCCTCAACTTTTTTTTTTGTAATGGAAATGTAATAAGGGCACTAAAAAAGGGGGATACTAATGTTTGCATAATTTGGAGCAGTAGAAGACATAAAATCTATACTAATTTTAGCCCTGCATCATTAAACATGAAATATTGATTATTGCTCTTTGCAACAGAATTTATGAAGCTAGCTAGGCTGCTGTGTCCACATAAAGTGATTCTGATGCTTTGCCCTCAGACCTCAGTAGCTGTAAATGATGCTCTTTGGTGACAGCTGGGAGGCTGGCACTCTGATCCTCAGCCTTAAGAGATACATTTCCCAGATTAGACCAGGAATGACCCAGCTGCACAGCCCAACTTCAGAAAATTAAATTGGAGGGAGTCCAAACCTCTGTTGAAATAACTGTGTGAATTACAATGCTTCCATGGGCCTTGTTATAATGTAAATGTGTTTTACAATTTACTGCTATTTCCCTTCTATCCCTGCTGTGAATATGGGCATAATAGTCATCTCATATATTTAAAGGCAAAAAGGAATCAAAAATAAAAATTCAAGATTCATGTTTTCTCCCTTTGGAAAGCAAAGACTAAATTCCTTTTTTTCTTTAGCCACTTTTTTTTTTTTTTTGCAAAAAAGAGCATACGTTTTGTTTATGTATTATGCATTAATGTTTTTTACAGCTGGCAGACCTATAAATTTCACACAGGGAAGTTACCTTGCAGCTAAACATGAATTTCTATGGGAGGGGAAAAAAATGGCTAATAGGACATCAACAGCTCATTTAAAGGGTTCATTCAGGTAAGTTATGGGCACAGGAGGCATATAGGAGGTAGTAGACTTGAAAAGAGATTTGCCTGTTTCTAGCATTTTAAGGATATTTGAATGTCCAACGGGATGCAGAGGAACTGTGATTTTATAGCAGTAATCACCAAGTAAGGTAGTGCTGGGCCTTACTGTGTTTGTTCACCATGGAATTATTATTAGTTTATACATAGGAAACTGAGAAACTTACAAATGTAAGATATGACCATGAAAATTGTTGTGGTAGCTCATTCTTTATTCTTGTTTGACCAACCAGACTACATTCATAGGCTCTGGGACACAAAAGCCTTTGCCTGTAAATATAACAGTGCCAAACACCTGATGCCAAGTGGAAACTTACCAAGTAAAAACCCAGTTATGCCTATTTAAGTTCTAGTCCTTGGCCATCTTGTATCTGAGATGATTTCAGTCCCTGAGATTGTCCTAGGGTAGGTGGTACTTCTGGAAGGGTACAACTACAGCCAGACGGCCAAGCCAGTCCTTTGCTCTGATTGAGCAAGCACCTACAAACTACAATCCAGCCACAGTGGACAGAAGATTGTAAGGCAGGATGAGCCAGCCTAGTGCTATTTTGAAAAATGCCCTTCAGGCTTAAATGTACCCTTCTACTTTCCCTAAGATAGTGCATGATCTCAAAACTTTTGCTAGTTTTTAGATCACATTCTAAAGCTATCATTATAGAATGAAGAACAAGCTTACTACAAAAGTCTAACGCCTATCAAATCTAGGTCACAATAAATTGAAACACTTTTTGTAATAATTTTACATTTTGTATTGTAAATAATGTTAAATTTTAAATAATTTTAAAGAGGTTACTCTTCTCAAAGTTAATTCAGCAAGACAGTCATGAAAACTCAACTGAGATTGAAAATATTAGGTATAGCCACTAGGGTGCAGATATTTTTGCATCATATATATTTCTATATTCTGAAAAAAAATTCCTAGAGAACCAAGCTTCAAGCTGAGAACTCAAACACAAATAAGCATACAAGCTAACAAATAAACACCTCTCAGAATGCAGACAGAATAGCTAATGTGTTTAAGCAAATCCAAATACTGACTCCAGGTTTCCTGCACCAAAGGACAGTAACGAAGTACAGGCAATCAGAACAACATGTCACTCCCAGATTGTTTATACCTGATTCTGGAATGCAGTTCTTTGTAGTGTAGCAAACACCATCCAGATTAGATTTTTTTTTTCTTCTTCTTCTTTTTTTTTTTTTGCTTAGTCCAGTTGGAAAACGAGTTTTCATTTCTTACGCATTCTCCAAGTGATACTGTGAGGAAGCACACCAAATGCAAATGCATGCTGGGAAGGGCTCTCCTAATACATCCTGTAGCCCCTCAGACCTATCTATCTCCCCCTTTCCATTCCTTCCATACCACCCTTGTTCAGGACCTTGCTAACTCTCAGCAGGACTCTCCCGTTGTGCTGCCTAATTGCTTTTTTAAAAAGTATATTTCCAATAATTTAACTCTCCTATTCACAAACCGTAGCAATAGCCTACACAAAAATAACCCTCAGGATTGAAAATAATCCTAACTCCCAACCCTCAGGATAGCTCCTCTCTACCTTCATCTCTTGAAGACTTCAAAATTTATCTAAAATGTAATTTTATATATCATAATATTTCCTTCTGCAACCAATTGCATGTCATTTCTTTGAACTCCTTTGTCTACTACTAACATTTATTGAATTTTACTAGGCTCCAGACATACTGCATGAATCATCTTTTAAAAATTATGACTGTAGCTCTATAAAAATAGCAAAAGGTGCAATTATTAATCCTAGTTCTTGGATAAATATACATACTCAGAGAGATTAAGTAACTCATCCAAGGTCTTACAGCAGAAATGGGATGCCCACCTGAGCAGTGATTCCAGAAACTAAACGTAATCATAATCTTCACGCTTTTACTGTGAGTGACACGGGGCATGAAGCAGTGTGAGTAGCAGCAGTATGTCACCAATGTTACTTGTAAAGGAGAAGTTGGAATGTTTTCCAGAGTCTTCAGATTTGTTTGACTCTGAAGTATCACCCACCTACTGTCTGATCTCAGACAACTGGCTCACAGCCTCTAGGTCTGCTTCATCATTTGTCAGATGATGTTGGCAATGCCTACTACATAGCACCATGTAAGCCTGAGCTAAAATAACATATTTAAAGGTGTTTTGTGTACTTTATAGTGCTGACCATCCACAGAGAACTTCCGTTATGTCTCACTTGTCATTCCTGTGGTGCCAGGTTCTGCTCATTCTGGCTGTGTAATCTGGGGCTGTGTGGCCTCGGTAAGCCTCAGTTTCATCATCTATAAAATGGGGACACTAATTGTATCAAATTCCAAGGGTTGCCATGAGACTTGGTGATTCAAAATTTATGTAAACCATTCACTCTTGCATCAGGCAAATAGCAAGTGCTCAATAATATTAGTTATTTTCATTGTCATTTGTATTTTCATTATTGCATATCTCCGCCTCTTTAAAACATGGGTGTGCACTGAAGTACCTTCTCCTGGCTCACTCTAAACCCACTTCCCACTAGTCACCCAGTTTTGTCAATTTTATTTCTAAGTGTTTCTGGAATAGATCCTATTTCCACTGTCCTTCATTGAGGATTTATTGTTGCCATAAGGAGCGACCTCACATGCCAATCTCATCAGGACAGTTATGTTCTTGCAGACTTTCTAGATACCCCTCACCTAGCAGCCAGAGCCTAAGCTATTGGGCCTGGCAGACCCTCAGATGAAATCCTGCATGACTAGCCCCATCTGTCCCTCCAGACCCTTCCTTTGACTGATCTACCCCTAACTTCACTTAATCCTGCTGGAACATCAACATGTCACTAAAACCTGGAATAAGATCATGAACTAAAAAACTTGGAGTGAGTCAATCCAGACATGAGTTAAACAAAACAATGAAAAGGAGAATCTTTTTTAAAAAGAAGCAAAAGAGTAGTAATGCTGCAATATACATGGTAATACATTGCAGTATCACCAAATAACAGCATCACCTCAATGATTTCTCAAGCAGTTTCTAGGAGAGCATTTTAAGTTGGAACAAATCTCCATGTATGGATAATAAGTCCACTGTGCCCCAGAAGACCCTTCACACAGTTTCTACTGTCTATAATGTTGCCTCATCTTGAAACCTTTCTGGAAGTTTCCCCATTTGATGTTTGCTTTTCCTCTCTAAAATCTTAACTGGAAGTATCTATACAGAATACAACCCTTATATTGCTCACATAAGTTGTACCTGATTCCCCTTAGTATAGCCTAAGTATTGGAAGCAGAATCTTACCCCCCCCCCCATTAATCCTAAGCATTGTTCAAACTTACAAACCCTATTGTAGTCAACTGGGGTGTGCCAAACCCAGGGATAGGGAAGGGTCCTTGGACCCTGAAGTCAAGAGGCATTTTCACAGGATGTCAAGTTTACTTCATAAATAACCAAAGGATGATTTAAAATGGAGTGCAAAGTTTGCATTCATTTTAGAGCTAAAATAGAAGGACTTAAAATTTAGGTGTGCAGCCGGGCTCGGTGGCTCAGCCTGTAATCCCGTGCCTTTGGGAGGCTGAGGTGAGTGGATTGCCTGAGCCCACGGGTTCGAGAGCCGCCTGGGCAGCGAGACCTCATCTCTACAATAAATCAAAAATCAGCCGGGCGTGGTAGCGCATGCCTGTAATTCCGGCTACTCGGAAGGCTGAGGCGGAAGGATTGCCGGAGCCCAGCAGGTCGAGGCTGCGGTGGCCGAGAGCGGCCACTGCACTCCAGTCTGGGCGACAGAGTGAGACTCCAACGCAAAAAAAAAAAATTTAGGTGTGCATATGGCTATTTTTTTCCTAACCATCTCTCCCCCCAACAATATTGTATGTACTCACTATTTTCTGCCTTTGAGATTTCTGGGTGAACAATTTAATAAGCATTACCCTAGACAAGATAGATAGCAAATGCCATGTATTTATAAAATTAAGATGACTGGAAAGTGTGGCATGGTATAATCTCTATCAACAATAGATAAACTAAAAACAAAAATTATACTTGCAAGGGTACAATTTTTTTCTTTTAAATGCCACTGGTCTTTTATATCTCTCCTATGGCATCATTGTTTGAGAGGAAGAAAGGTAGACTCCATGTGTACCTAACGCCTTCTTCTTGTATGAGATTATACACAGAAGGCATGGCTGCACTCAGGAAAGGACAGACTCATTTCTACACTGACTGCTCACCAGCCCCAGTGCATCCTGGGTTTTCTGAGCTTGGATGATGATCTCATGGATATCAAGTATCACACATTATAGCATCTGCCTACTTCTGGGCACACAGTAACAACATGGGTGTTAAGAGGAATAGTTGATAAATGTTCATTAAAAAAAGAAAAGGATACTTAGGGATTGAATGGAGGTCACAACACAGAAAGCATGAAAGTGAAAACAGAACTTGAGAAAGAACAGGAGAAAGGGAGCCACAGGCAAGCAAACTTGTAGTCATTCAATCATTGTCCCATTCATTATTTAACACAAATATTAACAATGTTGGGCAACCTCTTTGGGTCTCCTCCCACTGTGGGAGCTTTTCTATCCTCTCAATAAATCCTACTCGCACTTAAAAAAAAAAAAAGAAAAAAGCAATATCAAGTGTGAGGCACTATGCTAGGTTTGAGGATCCAAAGTGGGCAGGAGAAGATGACAAGCGGACATGGCCCCTATTCTCCTGAAATTTGAAAGGTCAATATAACCAGATCATCAAAGGGGTTGTTGGAGACTGTTCTGTTCACAAACTGGAGACTGTTCTGTTCACAAACTGGAAAGAATGCAGGTCAAATAAGCCTGCCTGTTCTGTGCACGACAGTAGAGCTTGAAAGATGATATGCTAGAGAAGGCCAGCAACAGGTAGGCATGGACCCATGCCTTGCGGTGGGCCAGCTGCTCTTACTGGCGCAATGGAATGACATGCCTGTGTGCAGTGTGGAAAGGGTGATGGACATGCCACCAAAGATACAATGTAAAATTCCAAGGTAGTGGATTAGGGGCTTATGCAATAAGAATGACAGTTATTAACAGAGACCAGGTGGACAGAGATAAGAGAACAAAAGACAATGTTTCCAGATCTGCTTTGTTGTGTGAGAAACCCTAACACTACTGCAAATTAGAGTGTCCATTTACCCCCTGCATAGTAGGGGATAAATCTACTAACAATTGAGTACCTCATTGTGTCTTGTGACACCAAAGGTAGATTGCACTAAAGATTAAGTATTTCTTCTGTTGATTCATCCATTTTAGAGCAAGTGTTAATTTTCTTGAATAGATAAACTCACACAGAGGGGAAAAGGTTAGGTTTTTATAAACAGATCACCACTTTTCAAAACCAACAAGAAATTCCCAATGAGATGACTTTATTCAGCTCATATGTGAATTGCCCATTAGTGCACCATTATATTTTATGATCTTGGTGATTGCCCTAGATTGCTTCATAACAAGGAGGCGAACAACCTTAATAACAAGAGGTATTTTATTCTAAACCGAGATATGTCAGAATTGATATTTTTCCTTCAGACAGCTACAGCAGAATGTTCAGAAAGAACACCTACATCCCAAAGAGGAAATTAAACCACAGTTGAGCTCTCTGCTATTAAAACTACTATTATATCTAATATAATCTCTCTGTGTTTAAGATATTGACACAACTGTTATCTAAAAACCAAGTGGAAATATACAGGGGAAAATGTGTGGTTTTCAAAAGAATGCAGAGAATGAAGAAGGAGAGAAAAGATGAAATAAGAAATATCAGAACAAGACTGGGCATGGTGCCTTGTGCCTATAATCCTAGCACTTTGGAAGGCTGAGGCGGGAGGATCGCTTGAGTCCAGGAATTTGATAACAGCCTGGACAACATGATGAAACCTTGTCTCTACAAAGAAATTAAAAAAAAAATTAGTCAGGCATGGTGGCATGTTCCCAGCTATTTGAGAAACTGAGGTGGAGAAACATTTGAGCCCAAGAGTTCAAGGCTGCAGTGAGCCGTGATCATGCCACTGTGCTCCAACCTGGGTGACAGAGTGAGACCTCAACAAAATTAAAAAAAAAAGAAAGAAATATTAGAACAAAACATGGAGTGGTTTTCTAGCATCCAAGATTGCCTGAGTTCACAAGAGTGGTACGAATTCCCCCCCTCCCCCACCTGCAGCCCCCAACTCACAGTTCCTAAAGCTCCTATCCCCAGCCTGGTGACTCCTACTCTTCTTTCTTCTCCCTATTTACGTTAAATTGCCTTACTGACT